AAATAAAATAAAATAAAATAAAATCTTGTGTAGCTTCCTTGGTTCCCAGCTGAAAATATGAAGTGGATTTTTTTTTTCTCCAAATCTTTATTGAGAATAGAATCATATATAAATAAAGAAATCATCAATAGATAAATAATACAACCTTTATAAATAAATATATAGATTATAGTTCCTTGGTTCCCAGCAAGAAACTAAAATCTAAATAAAATTAAATTAAAAAAATAAATAAAACTTATATATTCCTTGGTTCCCAGTTGAAATTATTAAGTGGATTTTTTTCCCCAAATCTTTATTGACAATAGAATTATTTACAAACAAATAAGTAATTTATAGAGATAAAACCTAATCAGAGCCAGGGGGAATCTTAAAATGAAAACATTAAATAAAAACCACACATTAATAGTTATTGCAGCTTAATTTAAATTGTTATTTAAGTAAAAGTAGGTAAGTTTGATCAGGAAAATAAAGTTAAGATATTAAAAGAAAAAGCAGACTATTAATGCAGAAAAAATCAAATCAATCCAAATTATAAAAGAGAAGAGCAGCAAATCTTAACATTCCAGATGTATTTGTACATTTTTGTATGCAAAACTCTTAATCTATTAAGTCACTGAAGGTGTCAGAGAAATGTAGTGCAGCAAAAAGTACAACGTTTCTGAAATGTAGTGGAGTAGAAGTACCTAAAATTTGTACTTAAGTACAGGACTTGAGTACAGTTGTATTCCACCTCTGCACCTCATGTCATGTATGTGATGTTTTGGTTGCTGTTCTTGTGTTTTACACTGACACGACTTTATTTCGTGTCACATGTCTCTATTTTTAAGAACACAAGATTAAAGGTGTAAAGCTGGAACAAGGCCCTTGGGGGTAGGCTAATGTTAATTACACCTCACAAAATGAGAGTGACTTATATTTCACCATAGGCTTCACTGCTGGTGTCAGCTACAGGTCTGTTCCACCGAGTGATGCTGAGGTGTTCCCTAACGATCCCTGTTTAATCTATAAACACACAAAGACACATGTGGCTGTTTTATTATGTCCATATGATGCATGACGTCTGCATGAATTTAACTGGAGAGGAAAACATCTGCTCACATCTTCACTGAAAGCTGTTTCCCTGTATACTCTAAGTTATGAAACAGCATTACTCATAAAGCTCAATTTTGTTGTTTTCCCTTCTGTGATATTTGGGGAATTAGGTCAGCAGCTCACGTGAGCTCTGTCTCACATCTGGTTTGTTGTATGTGCAGCAGAAACTCCAGGCGGCTGCATGTAGAGGATAAAGGAGCAGCTGCTGCATCAAATCACACTGCAGACTGTGCAGCGCAGGGATTTACAAAGTCTGACTCAGTGACCAGGAAGTATAATGTTGCAGTGAATTCAGTGGGTCATGCTATGGGACACAACTTGAGCCCCGTTTAATTTGGGGCCTATATTTGTTCACATGTTAGCAAAGTGGCACCATTAAAAGTATGCCGAATGATCTACTAGCAGCTCCTGTTTGCACTGTACCCATGGATGTACTGACAACTATCACTGGATTGCGTTTATACTGAGGGAAACATAAAAACATGAGGATTCTCAGGGAGGTTCTGCAGTTATAATGAGTGTGGTTTTTCATGATTTCTAGGCTGATTTATGGGCGTTTATTTGTGACAATTAATTCTTTAAACCCTCCAATTTTGTTGAACCTGTCTCATCAGTTCTTCAGCTTCATGGAAGTGCAACACTAAGTTGTTGAAGAAATTGCTTTAAAGTAACAGGCAGGGACCTTTACACCTACATATATGGAGCCAGTTCTGTAGGCGCGTTGGAGCTCGGACACCACCACTATGTATGCCACTCTGTAAAAACCCTATGTTTCTTCCCTCAATGCAGGATAAAGCTTTTGATCTGTGGTTTAAGAATGGCATACGTACAGTGAGAAACTTGTTTGTTGAAGGTGTCTTTGCTTCTTTTTAGCAGTTGGCTGAGAAATTTCACCTCCCAAATTCTCATTTGTTCAGATACCTTCAAGTAAGAGACTTCTACAGAAAAATGTATCAAGACTTCCCTCACACTCCATCACATACACATGCTGATAAACTCCTTAAGGCTCCTATGTTAATGAAGGGTTTAATCTCCACTCTTTATGATACAGCTCTCTCTCTTTGCTCTCCATCTGACCAAACACTTTTAACTCTCTGGTCCCAAGATCTGAATGTAGATCTGGCAGACTCATGGGAGTCTATCCTCCTACGTGTACACTCATCCTCTGTATGTGCCAGACACGGGGTCATTCAATGCAAGTTTCTACATCGTGTATATTGGACAAAGTCCCGACTGTCTCGTATTTATTCCAACATCGACCCATTGTGTGATAGATGTCGACAGGATTGTGGCACACTTGTTCATATGTTTTGGACGTGTCCATCCCTACATACATACTGGGTCTCTATGTTCTCTACTCTTTCAGATATATCACAAAAAATCAGTGGAGCCACGTCCACTCATAGCTCTGTTTGGTGTATTATCAGACTCCATTACATTATCAAAAGCCAAATCTGATTTTGTTGCTTTTCTCTGTTTGATTGCTAGACGTCTAATTTTGAGACACTGTAAATCACAACACCCACCCTCGCATTCACTGTGGATAAAGGATGAATTAATGTTTTCAAAATTGGAAAAGATTCGTTATTTAATGAGAGGTTCCATATCTAAATTTAATGAAATATGGCAACCCTTCCTTCTATATGTGCAAAGCCTTGACTTACAACTTCTGCTGCCTTGACTTAATTATGTGAGACCCCCCCACCACCACCTTTTTTTAAATTATTTATTTATTTATTTTTTTTTAATTTTCTTCTTTTTTTTTTGTTTTGTTTTGTTTTTGAATGTCTGATTGTTGTATTATCTGTTTACTGGAAGGTCATATAATATTTTGCCTGTAACTATCTCCATGTCTTAAGGTGGGAGTAGTAGACGATGTTATGTTATGGGTGAGGGAACTATTACGTTGTACTCAGTGAACTGTTTAACCATCACTTTGAACACTTATCCCTCAATTGCCTTCTCCTATGTATATGAAGAAAACCTTCAATAAATAAACCATGAGAAAAAAAAAACTATGCCGAATTATCTATTAGCAGCTCCTGTTTACAGTGTTCCCATGGATGTGCAGACAGCTGTCACTGGAGTACTCTGATACTGAAGAAATCTTAAAAACGTGATGTTTCTTAAGGAGGTTCTGCAGTTATAAGGAGCATCTTTTTTCCATGATTTTTAAGCATATTTCTGGATGTTTATTTGTGACAAACGATTCTTTAAACCCTTGAATCTTGTTGAAACTGTTTCTTCAGTTCTTCAGCTTTGTAGAAGTACAATATCAAATCATTGGAGTGCTGCTTTAAAGTGATAGACAGGGACTTTTAAGCCTGTATTTGCAAACTGTCACCATTTAAAGTATGCCGAATTAGCTATCAGCAGTTCCTGTTTACAGTGTAAAGATGGACGTATACACGAGTATCACTGGTTTACTTAGAGACTGATGTAAAGTTAAAAACGTGATGTTTCTCAGGGAAGTTCTGCAGTTACAAGGAGCATCTTTTTCCCATGATTTATTTGTGACAAATGAACCTTTGAACGCTTGAATCGTGTTCAGTCTCTCTCTTCAGTTCTTCAGCTTTATGGAAGCAGAATACTAACTTGTCTGAGTGCTGCTTTAAAGTGACAAGCTGGGACTTTTAAGCCTGTGTTTGCAAACTGTCACCATTTAAAGTATGCTGAATGATCTGTTGGCAGCTCCTGTTTGCAGTGTATCCATGGACACACAGACAGCTATCACTGGATTACTTTGATACTGAGGAAAACTTAAAAGCACCATGTTTCTAAGGGAGGTTCTGCAGTTATAAGGAGGGCCTTTTTCCTATGATGTTTATTCATAGCCGACAACTGAGATAATGGTGTCCTTGAAAAGTGCAAGTCACACTGAATCTAAAAACAAGAGGATCATGTCTCGGTGTTCAGACTTGACTGAGTTATGACTCCAGCAAGAGGCGCAATTTGTGGTGACGTGTGTCACTGTGTGGAGAGGGGTTAAGTAAGGTTCTGTTGTCTGCTCAACATGTGTTTGTATTTACTGAGCCATCAGCGGCTTGTTGGAGTTTCACAGAGACACACACTAAGGATACCCGGCGTGTTCATTCATTAACACTGTAGACATGTTGTTATTTTATAAAATAAACTTTATTTTATCAAAAGTTGATCATGACAGCAATAAGATCATGACAATAATATATAATGCACAGAAATGGAATAAACAGCAACAGAGTATATGAAAAACTAGTGCAAAAAAATCACAAATACAAAAATATATTGCACTTTGAAGTTTTAGGTGGAAGAAGTCATGTTTGAACAACATTCTCAATTTGATATATTCATCTGTAAACATTTTATCTTTTACGCTTTGCCATTCTTTTGCGCGAGCACAAAGCTTCTTAACATCCATGTTGGAAAAAAATCTACAGCAAGAGAAGCTTTTAGTTCAGAGCAGAAACCGACAGGCGACTTGTGGTACTTTATCTTGGTTGGTCGGAGTTGTGCTTTTTCGCTTGACCCTGTCTGGGTTCACACCTGGTCATTTAAACCAACACACACACACCTCTTTCTCTCTCTCACACACACATTCACACACAATTTGAGCTTAACTTTAAGTGCTCGAGGTGGTCGTTTACGTGACACGTAATCAATCATCAGAACATTATTTTTTTTCTGTCGACTCTGTTTCACAGAATATGACATTTTCCACCTGAAGTCTGGTTAGTGACAGTGACACCCGCAGGCCCCCGAAGCTCAGACTATCCTTTAACTGAATAATAGCTTTCATCCTGCTTTAAATGTGCCCGTTAGATTAAAGAATACGATATTGTTAACATCTGTGGACAGAATCTATTGTAGCATATAGGCCCGCGGCGATCTGCAGTATATAAAACCACTGATAGAAAAACAGTAATCACGGTATGTGCAAAATTCACTGTGAGGCAGGAGGAGGCATCCTCTGACCACCGCCAGCGAGCTCTGTTTTCTGCCTCGTCACAGTCAAACAGTGGTGTCTGTCAGAGAACTCTTTTTTGCCTCACGTTGAGCACAGGATATGGAGGATCCAGCATGGCTCCAACTACCTGGTCCATATGTCAATGGTCACCGAATACTCTCTCAGCTGACTCCCCCAGGTCAGGGAGGGTTTAGCCTTATTTATGGTGATATATAATCTGGTGAGAAGCTGGCAGCACGGGCCTGGAGCTGAGGGTGATGGTGTCGTGTTTGTGCAGAAGCCCTCTGAGCTCACGAGCTCTCCTCAGCGGGACGGACACGTGTCGGGCCTTCTGACGTCAGCGGCACCGCACACCTCCACGGGGTCTGGGTAAGGGTCCACCTGAGGGGGGGGGGCAGAGGCATATTTACAGGCTGCTGATAGAGTGGTAAATATAAACACACGCTCAGACTACATCACAGTGGTGCACTCAGGCTGTCTGAGGGGCAGGGGCATGAAATGATGGGCACCAGTTGTATGCAGTGGGGCACCAGCGTGCAGACAGTTTTATAGATTATAAGGTATTCTAGTTTTTCTCCACAGCAGGGCATGTTATCATGTTTTATTACAGGTTAGAAAATGGATGGAGTGCATTTTATTAAATTCAAATCCAGTAGCAAACCAATACTTGAATCCTCTTAAATCCATAATTAAAACCTTTTATAATTTTTAAGATTTATGACTGACTAAAGACTAAGTCCAACTCAAGCATGTCTTCCCTCAGCAGTGTGAGTCAGAGGTTTAAAGGCAGAGTTCAACACTTAGGGAACGACTCTTATCAGCTTTCTTACAGGCAGATGTTCAGGTTGATGCCACTCTCATGTCTGTGCAGTAAATATGAGCCTGCAGCTGCTTAGCTTAGCTGGGTCTTTTTACCACATCTTAACAGTTACTGTGTGTACTCTTACTGCATATTTCGTATACATTTTTCACTGCATCTTTACTGGATATTTTGTGTACTCGTAATGCTTCTCAGAAATTATTTTGTATACTCTTACTGCAAATTTTGGATCCATTTTTCACTGCGTCCTGTCTGGATAGCTTGTAAAGTAGTAGATCTCAAGTAGATTTTCTGCGTACACTTACTGCACCCTGGATATTGTGTCTACACGTTTACAGCAAAATTTGTGTACCTTTTTAATTGCATCTTGACTGGATATTTAGTGTGATCTTACTATGTATTTTGTATACTGTTAGTGCAAATTTTGTATACTTTTTACTGCGTCCTTACTGGATATTTTGCCTACTCTTACTGCATCTTAACAAGATAGTTTTTATACTTTTAATGCTTCTTTAATGGATATTTTGATACTCTCTTCCTGCATTTAACCGAATATTTTTTATTCTCTTACAATGTATTTTGTATACTTTTTTTACTGCATTGTAACTGGATATTTTGTAAACTCTTACTACATCTTAAGTTAATCTTTTGTGTACTTTTTTACTGCGTCCTAACTGGATATTCTGTATACTCTCAATGAATCTTTACTGGATATTTAGTGTACTTTTACCGCATCTTAACTAGATATCTTTATACTCTTACTGCATATTTTGTATACTTTTTTTATTGACTCTTAACTGGCTATTTGGTGTACTTTTTTCTATACAATTTTCATGCATTTAATTGGATATTTTGCATACTCTTTTTTTTAAGATATTTTTTGGGGCATTTTTGCCTTTATAGACAGGACAGTTAAGCATGATGGGGGAGAGAGAGAGAGAGGGGTAATGACATGCAGCAAAGGGCCACAGGCTGGAGTTGAACCTGGGCCGCTGCGGCAACAGCCTTGTACATGGGGCGCCTGCTCTATCCACTAAGCCACCGACGCCCCAATATTTTTGCATACTCTTAAAATGTATTTTGTTTACTCTTAACTGCATCTTAAGTGAAATTTTTGTACAGTTTCACTGCATCCTTACTGAATATTCTCTATACTCTTGATGCATCCTAACTGGATATTTAGGGCACTCTTATTGCATATTTTCTACACTTTTTCACTGCATTCTAACTGGATGTTTCATAAACTTTCACTGCATTTTAAGTCAATTGTTTTGAGTGCTCTTACTGCATCCTAACTAGTTATTTTGCATACTCTTACTACAGTTTAAGTGGTTCTTTGTTTACTTTTACTGCATTCCTACTGCATATTTTGTATACTTTTTTAATGCATCTTTACTGGATATTTGGTGTTCTTTTTTATATACAATTTTCATGCATTTAACTGGATATTTTGTATACTTTTTTAGTGCATCCTTACTGGATATTTTCTGTACTCTTGTATTGGACTCTTGGATTTTGTATAATCTTTTTCTAAATTTAACTAGATGTTTAATATACTACTGCAAAATTTGTACACTTTTTTTTTACTGCATCCTAACTGGATTTCTTGTGTACTTTTTCACTGCATGTTCTCAGGACATTTTGCACAGTTCACAGTGTTTTTTTTTTGTGTGTGTGTGTGCGTGTGTGCGTACAAGGTGTACCTCAGAGTAGAGTGGCGGGGGCAGATATCTGAACTCTGTGATGTACGTCAGCAGAGATCCCTGGTCCTCTCCCTCCCCATCAGATCTATCACAGCCATGCAGACAATCCCGCCTGTGAGACTCTGATATTGCCAGATCGCTGTAACTCGGAGGAGCTGCAATAAACAAATGCGCGTCAGAGAGTCCTGAGCACTGTGCCAACACGTAGAGCGTGTGTCTGTGTTTACTGTACTCACCCTCAGGTTGCTCCGACAGGCCCAGCCAGCTCAAAGTGCTGCAGTTGCTGCTGATGCTGGAGGTGCGGGTGGCGCAGGCATGCAGAGGTATGGTCCCAATCACCAACGGCAACGACAGAGACAAGTTCAATCCACCGGGAACGTCCACATACACCTGCAGGCAGACAGGGAGTGTTTGGGAAAACATTATTAAGGGATAAGGAAGAGGAGCGTTTTAATCCTGAGCCAGTTCTTCAGGTTCATGTCAGCCCCTGAGCTGGCACAGTATTTTTATACACACATGACCTATAGAACATTTACAACCTGAGACACCTTCAGGAGACATCAGAACACCTTGTACTCTCACAACAACTTCCTGCTCTCATATCAAAACAAGCTCCTTCCTCAACCATCTCTAACTATACATCATCCCCCTGGGTTGTTAGAAGGTCATTAAAAAAGGTTTATTGAGTTACGCTGCAATTATTAGTATGACAGTAACTCAAATTTTTATTGCGTTATTAGTGTGTTTGTATTTTCTTGTGTTACTTGCAGGTTATTAGTAGTTTTAGTGGGATTTATTGTAGATTTATTGTATTAAATTGTTTATTATTACATTATTATTATGTTTTCAGTAGTTTTTCTTGTGTTATTTGCAGGTTAAAAGTAGTTTTATTGTGTTTATGGTATATTCTATTGTTCTATTAAGGTGTCTTTTTGTTATGTCATTATTAATTTTAGGTAGTTTTTCGTGTGTTACTTGCAGGTTATTAGTAGTTTAAGTGTGTCTATTAGTAGTTTTATTGTTATATAGTGTGTTATTATTATGTTTGTAGTAGTTTTTCTTGTGTTACTTGCAGGTAATTTGGAGTTTTAGAGTATTTATTAGTAGATTTATTGTGTTATAGTGTGTTATTATTATGATATTATGTTTTCAATAGTTTTACTTGTGTTACTTGAAGGTTATTAGAAGTTTCAGTGTTTATTAGTATTTTTAACGTGTTATTGTGTTTTTGTACGTTATTAAAATGTTTAAGTAGTTTTATTGTGTTTTACTATTTACTATTTTATCATTATGATTTCAGTATGTTACTTGCAGATTGTTAGTTGTTTTAGTGTGTTTATTAGTAGATATATGTGTTATAGTGTGTTATTATTACGTTATTATTATGTTTTCAGGAGCTTTTCTTGCGTTACGTGCAGGTTATTAGTAGTTTTAGTGCGTTACTAGTGTGTTTGTATGCTATTAAATTGTTTATGTAGTTTTTCCCCACCCCCACAGCTCTGCCCACGGTTATTTGTATTCAAATTATTATTAGTTTTCATCAGACAGCTATTAGTTTTTAATGTGTCATTATTATTAAAAAAAAATCCTATAAATCTAGATTATAGATTAATGGGTTTTAAGTATGAATTGTTAAACATGAGGCTCCATAATTTCACCGAGAAAGGACATTTTGGACAGTGAGTACTTTTACTTTGATACTTTAAAGTACGTGTTGATGGTGTGACTTCTGCATTCAAATATGTTTTTGAATGAAGGACTTTTTACTTGAGTATTTTACATGATGATATTCCTATTTCTATTTAACTTAAGGATCTGAGTACTTCTGGTTTTCAGTGTATCAGCATTCCCACTCACCACGAGGGCGTACTCCACTCTGATGATGGGACAGTCCAGGATGGACGGGGACACCGGGGGGATCTTGAGCAGTTTGCCCTCCCAGCTCTGGCTCTTCCCCTGCGGCAGAGGGTCTCCTCTCAAATTGGACACCAGCTGCTGGATCTGTTTGCCCTTGCCCTTAGCAAAGAAGGTCTGGGTCTGGTACAGAGCGGCTTTGGGCACCACGACCCGGGACGAACAGTTCTCCACCTCGGCGAAGATTTGGATCGACTCGCCTTGGAGAGAAGGGAGAAGAGATCAGTCTGTCGGACTGAGAGAGAAGGGAAGTGAGTGAAAGGAGTAAAGAGGAGGAAGAAGAAGAGTTAGAGTTAGGAGGAGGGATGTCTCACCTGGTGTGTAGCCCTTTCGCTCGATCTTGGCACTGAGGGAGATCGGGCCTGAAGCACAGAACCAGCAGCACAGAGTTTTCTCCTTTGTACCAGCCTGAGGGGCCTGAAGCACACAATCATCTGTGTTAACACTCCGACAACATCACACCTGCTCTTAACGGAATCATCCGACATTTTGGGAAACACGTTCACTTTAACGCCGACAGTTAGAGGGGAGGACTGATACCAGGCACAGTAGAGGTACTCAGATGTTTTATTTAGGTAAAAGTAGCATTACAACAGTATAAAATTACTCTGTTACAAGTAAAAGTCCTGCATTTACCCTCATGTTTGTGCGCTTAATATAAAGCTACAGACAGTTAGCGTAGCTTAGCATAAAGATGGGAAAGCGATAACAACAGCTCGCCACAATTCACTTCGTTTGAACCAGTCCGACAGCATCCATTCAGGTTGCAGGAGAGAACCTTGAAGAAATAACGTTACGTTACTGAGCACTACGTGGAAAAAAATGGCACCAAAGATAATTTAGTTCACATTAAAAACTACGTGGCCGTCAACAAAAAAACTATTTGCTGTACATAAAATATGCGGGTTGAAAATTACAGACGCAACAACTTCCAACTTTGTTTGACATCTGAAGTTGCACAAAGAACATAAAGTCGAGGCTCACATTAACATAGTTAGCAAGCTAATGCTTAGCTAACGTGCCTAATAGCTAAGGAACTTTTCCAAACATGGTCAACAAAAAACTATTTGCAGGATACAAAACGTGCGGGTTGAAAAATACAAAGACGCAACAACTTCCAATTTTGTTTGACATTTGGAGTCGCACAAAGAACAGTAAATCAGGGCTAATATTAATTTAGTTAGTGAGCTAATGTGTAGCTAATGTTAGCTTAACAGCTATGGAACTTTTTAACAAACATCAACAAAAAACTATTTACAGTATAAAAAATGTGGAGGTTGAAAATTACAGACGGAAATGCAACAACTTTCACTTTTGTTTGAAACTTGAAGTTGCACAAAGAACAGTAAGTCATATAGCTAGCAAGCTAATGCCTAGCTAACGTTTGCTTAACAGCTAAGGAACATTTTAACAAATATCATCAACAAAAAACTATATTGACAGTACACAAAACGTGCGGGTTGAAAGTTACAGACGGAGATGCAACAACTTCCAACTTTGTTTGTCACTTGAAGTTGCACAAAGAACAGTAATTAGCCAGCGAATGCTTAGCTAATGTTAGCTTAACAGCCAAGGAACTTTTAAATAAACTTATTTCAACAAATTCATTAACATTTGAAAAAGTATTCATGATTTATATTTATATTATTTATTTATATATATATTAACTCTGTTTTTACAATGACAACATTTTTAGAAGAGCACGTTCTGACTTGTTTGGGACTCCAAACTCAAAGTTTAGGACTTGGGACTTGAGTACAAAGGCTTGAGACTTACTTGTGACTTGCATTACACTTTTATTGTATCTTTTGTAACACAAGTTTGTGCAAGAGTCTTGAATTTGTATGTCTTTTAATGTCTTTTTCCCTTTTTTTTAAAAAAAATCTTTAATTTTCCTTGTAATAGCCTAGAGGCCTATAGCCAGGCTTTTCCTAAGCTAAGCTAACCAGCTGCTGATGACATGAGAGTGATCTCTATCAGAAGATGAATCTCGGTCAGGTTTATAGGTCACGTATCCATATACACATTCAAGGAATTTGACTCCCATTGCACTCAATGTACTGACACAGATTTAGACATCGCAGCTATAAACAGGTACAATAAAGCTGGGATAGACAGAACTATCATGTGCACATGTACACATACAACATTAATAAAATGTTTATATGCAGCTTCTCATCTAACTGTCCGCCACAAAGTGAACAGACGTGATTCCCAAAATGTGGAACTACTCCTTTAAAGCAAAGGGAGCGTGTGCAGTGTGTCGTACCAGCAGCAGCGGCGTGTTGATGTCGATGTGCTCAAACACAATGAACTCTTTCTTCACTTTGACCGGCAGCAGCCACGGACGGTGCAGTTCAGCTTTCACCCAGTACCTCACACTGCCGTGCTTCCCCTCGAAGGAAGTGGCCAGAGCCCTGACAGACCAGAGGGACGAAACAGAGTATTATTAGTGTTACTGCGTTCATCTGGGTGTGTACTGTAGGTACGTGTGCAGTGGTGGAGGAAGTACTTGGATCCTTACAACAGTGTAAATTTCGAGTCAAGCATAAAAAGTACTCTTGGTGCAGCAAAGTCTCTCCTGTGACTGATATCTGATTACTGAAGCATCAGTGTTAGAGCAGCATGTTGCTCCAGGTGGAGTTAGCCTGAACTACTTAATATTCAGTTAGCTAGTTTAGTCCGGTGGTTCCTAACCTAGGGGTCGGGCCTCTCCAAAAGATCACCAGATAAATCTGAGGGGTCATCACAAGATTAATGGAAGTGAAATCTGTTTTTAGTTTCTGAACTTTTATAATATTTGATTTTTTTTTGTGAAATATTCAAGTTTCTGCTCAAATCTAGAGCAAAATGTAACCAAATTTCTAGAAAATCTGCAAAAGAGAATGTAAATTAATCCATGTTTCCATCGACACCTGTTGTGTGAATATGAGCTCTTTGGTTGATGGAGATAAACCAATCACAGCCTACAGATATATTTCCCTTCTTTCATAAATATCAGTCTGTGATAAATGTGGAGGAGAAGTTGATCATGTTAGTGCAGAGCTGTCAGAGTTTTACATGGAAAACAGCCCTGCACACTTATAAAAAGCTCCTGGAAGAAGTTCAGCTCAGGTACATAGGTTCCGATACGATGCTTAGCAAAGCCGGCACAGAAGTAGCACCCAGCGTCTGACCTGGCGTTTTCCAGGCGGTTAAAGACACAGCATGTGTACAGCCCCTTAGTAATTTCTATAAATACAACTTGTGATATTTGCTTAAACTCTCACTGTATATTCACACAGAAGCAAATGAGACGGGTCATCTGTAAAAACATGTTCCTCTTCCTCCTCCAACACATGCTCACCCCCAACTCATGAAATAATGCTTGGTCAGTGGCCCTACATGTCAAACTATCGTATGACTCTCTAGGTTCCCCACTAACATCAGTTTTGGATGTTCAGGGACAGCATGCCACTTTACACATGCACTGTGTCTTCTCCAAGTAAGTGTCCCTTTTTACAGGAAATGTAAAGCTTCTGCTCGTTAAATGCAAACAGTCTATTTCAAATTAACTTAGAACGTAGGTAAACATTCTGGTTTTAGGTTGGCTTCCCACAGTTTAGGCAACAAAAGGATGTAGTTAGGTAGGTTTGGTTAAAAATAAGTACATTTGTTGCTTAGAACATGTAACATCGCATGCAAAACTTTCTCATTTTACAGCTAAACAGTACACGAAAATATCTTTCTGAAAACACTTCAGGGAAAAATAGGCAACGCAGGAACAGAATCTTGATTCGTATTTGGTCAGTGATTGATGTGATTGACAGCTGTGTTTACGGACTCCTTGGCTCTGATTGGTTGTTTCTCAACTAGGGTTGGGTACGGTTCATAATTGAACCGAGACGGTACCGGTACCGGTATCTGGAATTCGGTACCGGTACCAAACGGTACCTTATTTTGGTACTTTTTAAAGTCTAAACTTCTCAGTTTCAACATTTTATTGAGAACATTTAGGAACAGTGCTGCAAGTTAACTTTTGTCTGCATGTGCATTTATTTTGAAAATTCAATAAAAAGATTTAAATAGAAATAAATACAATTCCTTAAATTGGAAGTGTTTCCCCCGCCTGCATTGCACGTTGCGTCGCAAATATTGCAGCGAGTACTGTCTCTGTCGACTGGCGTGAAGTGCTGAGTCTGAGGTGCGAGTCACACACTCTCACTCCGCCTCCACCTCAGGTACCGGATTGGGAACGATTCATTTTAAGTGAATCAGTACTCGCTAGTACAGACATGAATCGGTACCAAGTACAAAAAGTACTGAGTTTCGGTACCCAACCCTATTCCCAACAGTGGCGATACATTCTAGCAAATACCATTAGAAGCAATACAAAGAGGCGGAGAAACTTTATTTTGTTCTGTCTCATGTCGTGCTGTCTGGATATAGAGTTTCAGCAAATATGAGGAAATGTTATTTTCATAAAAGATGTAGCTTTAAACCACCACAGAAGAAGAGGTTGTTTAAAAACTCCAATCGAAGCTCAAACAATGGAAAACCATGTCGATGAAAAAATGATGGAGATCTGACATTACTGTTTGTTTCATACATTTATGTATGAAAGGTTACAGTCTCGTCATCGCTCCACACACATCTCAAGTTTTTATTAACTATTTTACTTATATAACAACCTTTACACTTTAATTTCACAGCCAAGACATTAAAACATGTTGAGATATTTTGGCGTTCTGTAAATTTCTGGTGTTTCCTCTTAGGTTTTTAATATGAAAATTGAAAAAACGCATATAAAAAGGTGTATGAAAATAGTTATTTAGAGAAAATTGCTGTGTTTAGAATGGAAACACTGGTTCACTGTCAGAGGTCACAAGTCAGAAAAGTTGGGAACCACTGGTTTAATCTGATTTGTTGTATTTTATGTATTTTAAGTTTATCTCATGGTTTTTATCATAAAAGTTTGAAAAAGCTAGGAAAAATACAGCACTTCCATCTGAGATGTAGTGATGTAGAAGTGTAAAGGAGCATAAAATGGAAGTACTTAAGTACCTCAAAGTTGTACTTGAGTAAACGCAGCACTACTCACATCTGAGGCAGGTTGAAGCTGAAGGCGAACTCGTGCAAGCCTGCGTGCAGAACAGTCAGTCCCTCCTCTGGACAGTCCTCATCTGAAACACAAAGAACACGTTTCCAAATCCTGCAGACAAACACACACACTGTTAACACATAATGTCACGCAGCCTTATCACACAACACACACTCCACTTATCACTTCACCTCAGAGCATTTACTTTCAACTGTTAGAGGCATGTAAGAGGAGAATAAAAAGTACAGTGAGCACACAGGAGAGAAGGAAATCACAAGACGAGAGCTGAAACGACTCCTTTTTCATGCAGATATGCTCCTAAGAAAAGCTGTTTTCATTCCTTCAAGCATGAAGACTTCCTGCTTTTGTAAGTTTTATATCAAAGTCAACTGTAAAGTTTGGGTTTTGGTTTGTTGGTTGGACAAAACACACAATATTAAGACATGATCTTGGATTCTGAGAAACATTTTGGACATCTTTCCCTAATTCTAAAAGGTGTTTTATTTGAGCAAAGTTCATCTACAGGTGCTACACCAACATGATTGTATTTCACAAAGGGAGACATCAAAAAAGTTGTTTGAATCCAAAAGTCACTCGTAAACATTTCAGATCTTTTACTTGAGTTATAGTAGAAATACCACAGTGTAGAAATATTCTAGTCAAGTCAAAACTTTACTTAAGTACAAAAGTATTGTGTCAAAATACACTTAAAGGTCCAGTGTGTAGGATTTAGGGGGGTATATTGGCAGACATGGAATATAATATACTAAGTATGTTTTCTTTAGTGTATAATCACCTGAAAATAAGTATCATAGCGTTCTCAATACCTTAGTTAAGCAGTTTATATCTACATAGGGAGCAGGTCCTCATTTTTGGAGATCACCATGTTTCACTGCCATGTTTCTACAGTAGCCCAGAAAGGACAAACATATATACTACAAATATATGTACGGACAAAAGCCAAAAATGGCGTGCACCAATAAATATTCGACAATTTCTACATTCGGGCCTCTACCTCACCATCTGTGTCGCCAATTTCCTGTCTCCAAAATGGTGGTCGGCATGGGTCAAAGTTTGTCCCATCAAGTCTGTTTTTATAGATCATGGCTTTTGCGTGGAAAAGTTGTGTACGCCTCCTTCAGGTCTCGTTTTGTGTGTACGCGATGATGATAAATGAGAGACCTGGTCTGTTTGTTTTGGAGAGGAAGAGACCTCTGCTGAACTCCTGGATCTTAACTTATGAAAGAATAAAGATGTTAGACTGAACACCTGTCTCCGACATACCAAACTGCATTAGAAAAACACGGATTTATAACATGAAACTGCTTTTTTCAGTGTTTTCACCAGTTGAAATCAGCTGGTCTGTTTATTTTGGAGAAGAGGAGACCTCTGTGGATAATTCGGCTCCTGGTAAAAACTTCCTTAACTTCAGAGTCTTAATTTATCAGAGGAAAAAGGTGAGCACATGTTAGCAGGTGCTGGACTAGCTGCCAGTCTCCGACATACCAAACTGCATAGGAGAAACACTGATTTTAAGCATGAAACTGCTTTATTCAGTGTTTTTACCGGTTTAAATCACCTGGTATGTTTGTTATGGAGAAGAGGAGACCTCTGAGGATAATTCGGCTCCTGGTAAAAACTTTTTTCGCATGTCCATTTTTTTGCACGTTGATTTTTCTATGTGGTATCTATACTATGTCGGACATCTCTGACAGGAGGTCATGGTTTTTCCTCTTTTTTTCTTTGGGCCTGTAACGTATCATTGCATCACGTGACCACGTCATGTGTGTATTTAAGATGGCGGCACCCTTTGTCTTAAAAAAGTCTGATGAAGAGCCTGACGCTCGAAACGTTGAACCTGAATAAATTTCGACTGAACATTGGAGCCCTGCAGTATGCGAGCTGTTTGATTTCTCTGTTGAAAAACTGAATTCTAACTGAGAGAAGTTCCAGCTGGTTACAATCACCACTAGACTCCACTAAATCCCCATTAACCTTGCACACTGGGCCTTTAATGTTGCAGCTGGTAAAGATGGACCTCATTTAGCTTGATCTATATTAATACATCATATTTTATGTATTGATTCTATTCTGTATTGTTGATGTGTATCTGTGACGTAACTAAAGTCAAATAAATGTAGTAAAAAGTACATTTCCCTCTGAGATGTAGCAGAGTAGAAAGTCTTAAATTGTCTTAAATTCAGACTTGATGGGTCTTAAATATGATGGTCGGTCACATTACCATAAAAATGTCTCCAGCCTGACAGAGCCAATGACTGTTCACAATCATCAGACAGAAATATAATCACAATAAAGGTCTGTATGTCGTGTAAAAAATCAGACACGTTCATGTATTTTCACTGCTGTATGTCAGTATAAACGGAGTGCTGGTGCAGAACTGTCAGTAGTGAAGAGCTGGTGAAGCAACAACACACCCAGTGGGAGAAAGAACATGACCTCCGTCCACTTCCTCATTTCTGCTGTTATTGTTTGTATTTAAGATTCAGTATAAATGTCTCCACTCAACCTGCTGAACTTCAGCTTCCTGCCACCTCAGCACTCAGCCTGCATCTCTACTCTCTGTCTGTCTGTATGTTTGGCCTCAGAGCTGTCATAAACAGCTTGTATGCGTGTGTGTGTGTGTGTGTGTGTGTGTGTGTGTGTGTGTGTGTGCGCGCGCCGGTGACACACACACACTCACACTCGCACACACACACTCACAGAGCAGAGCAGGAGCAGACCGGTATGAACCAGACTGAGCAGCTTCCTTCAGCTGGAAACTCCAACGCATGCATTACACCTCGGCTCGCCATTGGAGGAGAGCGTGACATGAATTACAGACCGCGCTCCGATTGGTGCAGCCTCGACAGGCCCCTGCCCACATTAGTACAGCCATGTGGTGTGTTGCGTGAGAGGAAGAGGGCGGAGGGGGGGAGGAAGGGTGTCCTGATCTAACAGTGAACTAACAGGTAGATGAGGAACTCTCACGCAAAGACTCTGCAAATGATGACAGAAGAAGGAACGTGTTTGACACTTGGATGATTTTATTCTCTCACCGTCGTCACGTTTAAACACAGAAACACAAAATACACACAGCAAAGAACATTTCTCATCATGTTTTCATCCTTTATGTACAAATTCAAAGCATAAAGTTCATTCTTAAAGTTGGAAACAGCTTATAGAAATAAAAACATTCAACCCACACGATGCATTCGGAGCTGATCTGAAGCTTGCCATCACATTTCATCATCTTTCTCAGCAGATTAAGTTCAGTTGTCATGAAATTTTGGGATGGATGTTAAAATTTATTGGCTCAAAAGTTAAAATAACTCCCACGTCTTAGAATAAACCTTTCATCGCAGCTTTTAAACAACTATTTTTGCCCATAAATCAAACACTGAAGTTGTTTTTTCCCTCGCTTCCCAAGTGAGACCGTCTTTGTCTCCTGAGATATTAAACTGAATTATCTTTGTGTTTTGGACAAACATGATATCTGGAGACGTCACTTTGGGCTTTGGGGAATTGTGACCAGCACTTTATGAAAAAAACGAACAAAAAAAAACCCAACAAACCAAAAACAAAAAGACACGCCTGCATGTTTAACTCCGTGCCACAAAAGTCAAATCAAAACATTTCGTCAGTCTGGATCTTTGTCAGGTCAAAATGTTTCAAAAGTTGAAACCACACCTACATTTGTACAAATACACACCAAAATGATGACAAGCTGTACCATGGCAGGTGTGGTTAACCAACTAAACCACTTGGGGGAAAAAACAACAGACAATTCAATAAAGATACAGAGAAAGTATGTTACATGGACCAAATGATGAAGATAATCATTAGCTGTCTCAATGTGACGTCTGCAGCCTGAACCTCACGGACTCTCTGAGGTCAATATGGACACTGACATTTGGAGTCTCTAAAAAATTTGATAACGTAAACAAACTCTTAGTTTTCCTATAATTTTGACAAAGATAAACACATGGGCGGGTTATGAGGCAGTGGGCCCCTGGGAACAGATATGCAAAAGAGCCCACCACCTCTCCAACACAGCAGCAAAACACAGACAGAATTTGTGTCTCTTTGTACTTATTATCCATCTTTATTTGGTCATTTTGTGTCTCTTTGTGGTAGTTTTGTGTTTTTAGTAGTTGTTTGAGTGTCTTTTAGGTCATTTTATGTTGTTTTGCTGTAATTTTGTGTCTTTCTGAGATTATTTTTTGTCTCTTTAAGGTAATTTTGTGGCTGTTTGCAGTTGTTTCGTGTCTCTTTGAGATCATTTTGTGTCTTCTTTCGTAATTATAGTTTAGTCTTTTTTGGCCATTTGGTGTCATTTTGTGTCTTTTGGGGTTTTTGTATGTCTTTTTTGGTGAATTGGTGTCACGTTGTGTCTTTTTTTTGTTTTTTTTGTATGTCTTTTTTGGTCAATTGGTGTCATGCTGTGTCTTTTTTGGGGGGTTGTGTGTCTTTTTTGGTCATTTGGTGTCATTTTGTGTCTTGTTTTTTTTGTATGTCTTTTTTGGTCAATTGGTGTCATGTTGTGTCTTTTTTTGGGGGGCGGGGTTGTGTGTCTTTTTTGGTCATTTGGTGTCATTTTGTGTCTTTTGTTTTTTTTTGTATGTCTTTTTTGGTCAATTGGTGTCATGTTGTGTCTTTTTTGGGGGGGGGGTGTCTTTTTTGGTCATTTGGTGTCATTTTGTGTCTTTTGTTGTTTTTTTTGTGTGTCTTTTTTGGTCAATTGGTGTCATGTTGTGTCTTTCAGGGGTTTTTGTATGTCTTTTTTGGTCAATTGGTGTCGTGTCTTTTCGGGGGGTTTTGTGTGTCTTTTTTGGCCATTTGGTGTCATGTTGTGTCTTTTTTGTTGTTTTTTTGTGTGTCTTTTTGGCCGTTTGGTGTTATTTTGTGTCTTTTAGGGTTTTTTTGTGTCTTTTTTGGTCATTTGGTGTCATTTTGTCATCATTTTGTGTCTCCTCGGGTTATAGCGTGTCTATTTTGGTCGATTTGTTTCTCCTTGTGTTTGTATTGTGTCTCTTGGAGATACTTTTGTATCTTTTTTGGTTGTTATGTGTCTTTTTTGGGGTTTTTGTGTGTGTCTGTTGTGGTCATCTGGTGTCATTTTGTGTCTTACTGCGGAGTCTTTTTTGGTCCTTTAATGTGTCTTTGTGGCTGTTTTGTATGTTTTAGTAGTTGTTTGGGTCACTTTTAGGTCATTTTTGTGTTTTTCTTTGGACATTTTGTTTCTCCTTGTGTTCACATTGTGTCTCTGAGATAATTCTGTGTCTTATTGGTTGCTGTTTTGTGGTCGTTTCAAGTCTCCTTGTGGATGTTTTGTGTCTTTTTGAAGTTGTTTTTGTCTCTTTTAGGTGATTTTTGTATCTTATTGTTGTAATTTTGAGTCTTTTTTGGTCGTTTTGTGTCTTCTTGTGGTCGTTTTGCCCATTTTTGTAGTTGTTTTGTGTCTCTTATTGCATCCTTCTGTCATTCTGAGGCTGTAGCACCTGTAACATCTGTTTTGAGAAGTGATATATAAATTAAAAAACACCATTAATATTATTTTTATTTATGTTAAAACCTTGTTAAAAAATTGGCCGACATTTACACTGATACTGATAAACCTATTTCATGACAACTTTGCCAAACTGCATCTGCTGAGGAAGATCATGTGATACAATCAAAAGCCCCGGGTACAGCCACAACATGGGTACAACCCAGTCGCAGGATAAACGTTAGCATTGTAGGTTCCTGCAAACCATGGACACATTTGCACATTTTAATGTAGCGGATATGTTGAAACTTTACATTTCAATAACACTGTAGTTAATGTGTGGTTAGGGGTAGGCACAAAGAACACTTGGTTATGGTTAGGACGAGGTCATGTTAGGGTTTAAAATATCAGGATTTTGGGGCACAATCCCTGCTGGAAAAACAGTGAGAGGTCACAACAAAACACAAATGTGTGGTGGATGAAAAGCAGCTAAAAAACAACTGGTTTTGTTGTTTGTCAGTTTCAAACAGTGGTCTGCAAATGTAACATAATTGTGGTTTGCAGAAACGTAAAACACCAACATTTTATTTATGGCGACTGTGATCAGCAACATCTTTTCATTAGGTCATATTTAACAAATTCACCCCTGAAATTGAAGCAACACTGACACCATTAGTTCACCACTTCTTGACCTTTGACCCCGACATCCATCCATCCTTGAATAAACAAAACACTGACAGGATGTACGGTCAGACTGATACAGAAACAAAGTCCTCAGAAACACGTCATTGGTCCTCCATGTTCTTCTTCATGACGTCCAAACGTGTCTCTCAGTCTCTAATCCGTCAAATAATTTCACATATGCACAGTTCAGAGTTGAAGTCCAGGCTGGTGACAGTCTGACCCACATACTGGTTCGACTGGGAGCATTACAGTGGTGTAACAGAGCTCTGCATTTCCATCCAACTGTCCTCATTTGCATCATGTTTTACAAGTTAAACAGAACAACACAGGTGTATTAAGTGCTGGGAGGAGGTTTAGCCAGCAGCTGAGATGTTTCCACACACACACACACACACACACACACACACACACACACACACGCACACACTTAAATACACACACACACACACACACACACACACACACACACTCACAGAGTCAGTCGGGTCCTCCCTCCCTCCTCCCTCCTCCCTCCTCTCTGGCAGTTTCTGAACAGGTTTGAACCGCTTCTAACAAAGGGAGTTGGCTGATCGAGCTCGCTTCAGGATGTCATCAGTAAAAATGTTGATTCCGCTTCACTTTGACTAAATGTGTCGCAAAACATCAACAAAACCGTCGTTTGATTTTGATTTTGGCGTCGATTTCTGCGTTTTTACGCGTGTTTCATACATGAGCTGCAACTTTTTCCTGCAGCAGACTGAGATGTCAGGCTGTCACTGCGCACAGCTGCCTCTCATTACACATTCAATCAGTAAAACAGCATCATCTGTGCATGTTAAAGTGTTTGATTTATTGATTCGTTTAACAGTAATGGTGTTGGTTTGGAGTGAGGACAGAGGAGCGGTGGGTCGCATCAGCTGTTGCATCAGCACCACTGTCACACAGGGATGTTTTGGAGCTTTGTGTTTTGACTCTGTATTAATAAAGTTTCGTGTTTTTTTGGCACAAACAGCCGCTGGTGTCAGAAAGTTTGCACATGACAGTAAGATGTTGTGACTGCTTACCTCTCTCTTCTCCTATCAACGTGTCGTAATGGTGCAAGTATTCCACCTCCTCGGTGTAGTTCTGAGTGTAAGCCGTGTTGGCTCCGGCGTTCCTCGACTCGGTCCACCGGACCTTGGCGACTCCTCTGGCGGTTATGTCCAGGCTCTTTACGCGCACATCCCCGGTGACCTCCACCACCACCCTGCCTGACACCAGGTCTCCGCCGGAGAACGCCGGCAGGTTGTTCTCATTCAAACTGTCAAAGTAGATCGCCAGGGCCCTCACTTTGCCGAGTACCATGATGACAGATGAGTAAAAAAAAAGGAAATATAAAAATAAAGAGTCTATGGAGGAGAAGTTGTGCGTCGAGCCGTATGGCGCAGACACACGCGCCTAGCTCCGGGCGCACAGCACCGAGCCGGCTCCGCGGCTGCGTCGGTGATTGTTCATGTGTCGGCTGAGACGCGCACACAGCTGATGGGGCCGCTTCAGCTCCCCGCTCTCATCCCCGTGTCTCTCTCGCGTCTCTCCGGTCTCTCTGCTGCCGTCTGCCTCCAGCCGCTCTGCTCTTAAAGCCTCTGTGCGCAAAAATAACCTCACTGAGCATGTGCGCACAGACCGGCCGGCCTGCCTCACACATACACACACACACACACACACACACACACACTCACACTCGCTGCAGTACAGCCTGTAGTAGATCTAACAAATACTCATACATACAATATGACGCACACACAGGATATGTCTCCACATGTTCTCGCAGTTCTCCAGAAACCCAGAGAGATTAAAAATAATTTCCAAATAAGATCCCTGAATCTAATTTGGTGCCAGTGCTGTTATACAATAAAGTACATGTACTCAAGTACTTGAACTTTACCCGAGTATTTTCATTTTATCCTACTTTATAGCTCTACTCCATCACACTTATAAATACTGTATGGATCCTTGTGGTTATTTCGTGTCTCCTCGTGGTCGTTTTGTTTTTCCTTGTGGTTGTATTTTGTGTCTCCGCGTGGTTGTATTTTGTCTCCTTGTGGTTGTATTTTGTCTCCTTGTGGTCGTATTTTGTCTCCTTTTGGTCGTATTTTGTCTCCTTGTGGTCGTTTTGTGTCTCCTTGCGGTCATTGTGTTTCTCCTTGCGGTTGTTTTGTGTCTCCTTGTGGTCATATTTTGTCTCCTTGTGGTCGTTTTGTGTCTCCTTGCGGTCATTTTGTGTCTCCTTGTGGTTGGTTTGTGTCTCTTTGCGGGCGTTTGCATCTCCTTGTGGTCCTTTTTTGTGTCCTTGTGGTCGTTTTGTGTCTCCTCGTGGTCGTGTTTTGTCTCCTTGTGGTCGTTTTTTGTCTCCTTGTGGTCATTTTATGTCTGCTTGTGGCTGGTTTGTGTCTCCTTGTGGGCGTTTGTGTCTCCTTGTGGTTGTATTGTGTCTCCTTGCAGTAGTTTTGTTTCCCCTGCGATCCTTTTGTGTCTCCTTGTGGTTGTTTTGTGTCTCCTTGTGGTCGTATTTTGTCTCCTTGTGGTCGTATTTTGTCTCCTTGTGGTCGTTTTGTGTCTCCTTGCAGTCATTTTGTTTCTCCTTGCGGTTGGTTTGTGTCTCCTTGTGGTTGGTTTGTGTCTCTTTGCGGGCGTTTGCATCTCCTTGTGGTCCTTTTTTGTGTCCTTGTGGTCATTTTGTGTCTCCTCGTGGTCGTATTTTGTCTCCTTGTGGTCGTTTTTTGTCTCCTTGTGGTCGTTTTATGTCTGCTTGTGGTTGGTTTGTGTCTCCTTGTAGGCGTTTGTGTCTCCTTGTGGTTGTATTGTGTCTCCTTGCAGTAGTTTTGTTTCCCCTGCGGTCCTTTTGTGTCTCCTTGTGGTTGTTTTGTGTCTCCTTGTGGTCGTTTTGTGTCTCCTTGCAGTCATTTTGTTTCTCCTTGCGGTCATTTTGTGTCTCCTTGTGGTTGGTTTGTGTGTCTTTGCGGGCGTTTGCATCTCCTTGTGGTCCTTTTTTGTGTCCTTGTGGTCGTTTTGTGTCTCCTCGTGGTCGTATTTTGTCTCCTTGTGGTCGTATTTTGTCTCCTTGTGGTCGTTTTATGTCTGTTTGTGGTTGGTTTGTGTCTCCTTGTGGGCATTTGTGTCTCCTTGTGGTTGTTTTGTGTCTCCTTGTGGTCGTTTTGTGTCTCCTTGCGGTCGTTTTGTTTTTCCTTGTGGTTGTTTTGTGTCTGCGCGTGGTCGTATTTAGTCTCCTTGTGGTCGTATTTTGTCTTTTTTTTTGTTGTTTAAGTACTCAAGTACTTAAACCTTACCTGAGTACTTCTTACTTTATAGCTCTACTTCACCACACTTGAGAAAGAAAATATTGTAACTAGAATTACCAACTCATGGTTATATGCCTCCATGAACCAGTCAAATTTCTCTTTAAGTTAACATCCATGTCTGTGAAAACATGGATGTTTCACACACATCTTCCCCCCAGCAGCACAGATCTATACGATCAGCATTTCAAGGTGGGCATGCAAGATTAGTGTCACCAGTTCAGTATCTGACCAAATGTCTCCCCCTCTGTTCCTGAGATATGACAGTTTAGCAAAACATTATGATGCCACAGTAAAGTTGACCTTTGACCTTTTGGATATAAAATATTATTACTTCTTCATTTTATCCTATTAGACATTTGTGTGAAATTTTGTCATAATTAGCATATTATGTATATAACTGTACATATTTACTCTTATTCTATTCTTACTTTATTCTATTGATGTATATATTGTAGTTATATTTTCACACCTACAGCCTCAGCACAGTGATGATATATATTTTATTTCATATCTTCAGTACTGGTGTTAAACAGGGTAATGCAATTTGTTTTTAATTTAATGCACATTTCATTTAATTTCTACTTATTTTATTGCTTTATATTTACACACTTATATTTCATACTCTTATTTTTACTTAATATAACTTCCTATTCTTTACATCAGAGCAACTGTAATGAGGGATTAATAAAGTATTTCTGATTCTGATATTAATTCTTAAGTTATGTCCAAAAACATGTTTTATGAGGTCACAGTGACCTTGACCTCTGACCTTTAACCACCAAATTCCAATCAGTACATTGTTAAGACTAATTATCGCCTTTCAATGACATCGCCGCCAACCGGTGCTTGGTCAGTGACTGCCAGCGTTAGACACTGACAAAAAAATCCATCCTTGATACGTGGCCGGTCGCTATTATTGTTTAGTATTGTTTATTGTCTATTATTGTTTAATGGCATTCAACGACGTCAGGGGAAACAAGGTGAGACAAGAATAAAAGTTAACGCAGCAGAAGTCTGAGTAGAGTGGGCAGGAGTGGTGGTGGATGGGTCCAACAACCTCCGACTTTCACCTGGGAGGCCGGTGTTTGCTTCCTGTATGATTGTAAAACCTTTTTCTTAACCTAACCACGTACTTTTGTTATTGACAGAAAAATTTGCAGTGCTCCACCGACGTAGTGCGTTTATTTTGAAAGAGACTGAACACAAACTGAACATTTCCTGTGAAAACAGAAGTGTATTTTGAAAACAGACAATGCATGTATCAGGCTGAAGTTAACATGGCAGCCCAAAACGTCAACAACCAACACACCCAGGGTACCTTGCACGTCATATGTGGACGTGGAAAGTCCATGACCAAACGTCAATGTGTGATGACGTCAGAGTGAGTGTGTTGCGCATTCACAAGAATAAGGAGGACGAGGTCACAGTGACCTTGACCTTTGGCCACCAAATTCTTATCAGTTCAATTTTGAATCCAAGTGAAAGTTTGTGCCAAATTTAAAGAAATCTGTACAAGGCGTTCCTGAGATATCACGCTTACAAGAATGGGACCGACAACCCCACAACATAATGCCTCTGCCACGGCTGTCAGCGGTTTGGAGTTATAAAATCAACCACTCTTTCTTGCACTATATCCGCTGGAAAAACAGTGACAAGTCGCTTAAACACAAATGGTTTTGTTTGGTGTCAAACTGTGGTCTGCACCTTAGCAGGCGTCTATGTGACACACCATCCACCATACCCTCCACCTTCCAATGACAAAGTCAGCTCATACACTACGTCACTTTACAAAAGTTAGTATCTTAGTACAACATTCACGTCCCTTTATCTTGGACATAGCCCTGACAGACTAAGTAAGGATGATACCTATCTACCAAAGGTCTTGCTGACAGCAAGTAAAAAGGCCATCACAAAATACTGGCTCCAGAAAAATGGTTATATTTTCTGGAAGAGATGACCTGTTCCATTCAACTTCAAAAAGAACTGGGAGAGAAACAGGGGAGAAAATGGCGTTTTTCTTTAGCCAATGAGACGGATTTCACATGATTGTTGTGTGTACCCTGTGTGGCACCCTAATTTAAATTAGAAACATTTGTCATGACTTTCTATATATTCCATGACCTTTTTTTTTGCTGTGTACTGCTTTTCTTTTTTCTTTCATTCCTGTACTTACTGAATGTAAAAAATGTTCATAAATAAAAAGTTGATTTCATATGTAAGAAACGTGCAAATGTAACGTCTTCATGGTTTGCAGAAATGTACGATACCAACATTGTCTTCTGGCGACTGGGCTGATAAGCCTCAGGGTTATAAACCTCACTTTCACCATGAAGTTCTGTCTGCCACCACAAATGAAGGCTCCATTTAAGGCACAAAGAAAGTTTGTCAACCACTGAACAACCAAAGCAGGAAGAGGATAGCACTTTTGTTTTCCCCAGTAGCTATCAGCAGCTATCTCCAGTTACCAAACAGTGTCAGTTCTTTACAGTAACTTTTGTCAGTAAAGAAAATGGTGGACGCTGGAACAGCCAAAGCAACGATGGAAAACAAAATGCTGTGCGTCCTGTGTTGATGGTTGTTAGGGGAGGTTATGTCAACGCCAATAGATGTGTGTTAGTCCATATAATGCTCAGAAAAGTTTAGATGAAAATTTCAAAGTCCACTCTTTCCTGACAAATGTGCAAACTCTATCAGCTTATAAAGATCATGTGATATTACTGAAACCAGAATGGCTACTTAATCGACCTTGAGGTGAGGTTCTTTTGTGAATTTCTCATAAAGACTTATAATGAAAGGAAAAGAGTAAAGCTGAAAATCCCAGAGTGACAGGGATGTCACAATGTCTCATGTTGAGACACGGGGTAATTTTTACTTCCTGTCTTTCTGACGTCAACAATGACCTCTGAGATGAACCCATGTGACACACTGAGCTGTGACGATGTCTCTGGTAACAAAGTCAATGGGTACAAACACAAACATGGAGTGAAATAAATCAAAGAAGCTCACCATGAAGCAGAAGTTGGTTCATGAGGAAGGATGTGAACTGACCTGAGAGCCGACAGACTTTATGTACACAGATGACACAAGACGAAACCTACAGAGCAGAATATCAGGTTATGAATTCATGTTATGGTTTAATAAGGGGATCAGATCAGTCAATAATTCATACACAGAAGACACGTTCTCATCTTTCTCTCAGTTAGCCCAGACGTACGATCTACCTAAGAACCATTTTCTAGGGGCTTTGCAAAAAACACATTTAATTAATTTCTAAATAAACCAGTGGAATCACATGTCGACTGTATCCTTGAACTGAACTCAGATGGTAGAGGATTGCTATTTCTGATACAAGAGCTCATTAACAATA